AACAGTCACTTTGCTCTACACTAAAGCTAGTTTTTTAATCAGCTACAGTAATCTGGTTAAAACTTTAATTTTTTCAAAAACAGTATGTCTTTTCAATTATATTATCATTAATTAAATGCTTTATATAAATACTTTAATAATGACAGACAAAATTTCAATGAACTATATTTTAAAAAAAATAATAAATGAAATAAGGATATAGTTAAGAAATATAAAAAGTACTGAATCCTTTCATTTTAGATCAAACAAAATTTCTAAAAAAAATTGTTCAAAAAAAAATTTCTCAAAAAAAAAAGCCTTAAATTATAGGCAGGACATTTAGCTTAAGATTTGTGATGGACGGAAACAATCGTCACTCCAACTCACACATTGGCCTATTTAACGCGGATTGAGAATGGCAGAATGGGAGATAATGGCGATGCAACAATGGAATATTCCAAGGAATTTTGAATTATCTCTATTTTCACTTATATACCAGCCCAGCCATGGTCGTTTTTTCACACTTCCGTCGTATATTCTAAAATCGCGTGGGTGGTTGGCCAAGAAAAGAAAGAAAGAAAGAAAGAAAGAAATCGCGTAAGTGAGTCAGTGAAAAGTGGAAACTTGCGTTTTGTATCTGCGGGGTGTAATTAAGGTGCATCGTGATTAATAATCGGTTCATCCAATTTTCTGTCCCTCTACCATCCCAGGCTTGTCCCACTCGTCATCCATTCGCATCTAGACAAGGCACCTTGTTAGATAGACAAGAGCGAATGTTTCGCCCACTTTGACGTATTCTTTCGAGTTTTGGTCATCAAACCAGAATATTTTCTGTAACCTGGAAGTTTTCAGCCCCTCGATTCTCTTTTTTAATTATATTACAAGACTTTCTCTTCCCGCCTCCCAAGTGTGCTTCCCCCAGTCCCCACACGCCCAAGCATTTTAAAGTCAAAACGATCTCTGACTTTTCTCAATCTCGGTTACCAACAAATCTTACCACGCTGTCCATCTCGCGCGAAAATAAAATAACACGATTAATTTGCGCTGAAGCAATCACGCAGTGAAAATTAATACTATTCTACGACCCACCCGCGGAAGTAAGGACGAGCAAAACTACATCGAAACTGAAAATTGAATAGGATTGAATTGAATGTTATCTATTTAATTTGATTTATTTAATTTTTGAGTTTGGTTTGATTTTTTTATTTTAAATATTTCGGTTGATTGGTTCGATTTGGTTAGTGAAATTTAAAATCGAATAGATCGATCTGACCGAATTACATATAATTTATTAATTTATAAATTATATAAATTATTTTTATTTTTTATTTTTTATAATAAAAAATAAAAAATAATAATATCACTTGAAAACCCATTTCAGTCAGTCACTCTCATCAGTAGGTGTTGTGACTGAATTATGGGGCCATTATTTGATCATCGGTGTTTATTTATGGTTGTTTATTTGATTATCCATGCCTTTATAATATTTGAGCTTTATGTCATATGGGTGTAATAGAATGGGCTCATATTGAAAAAAATGAATAGAAAAAAGGCCCAATTTTATAGTATTGTTTGTTTTAATATTTAAAAAATAAGTCCAATTTTAATAGCCAAATATGAAACTGAAAAATCGAATTAACCGACCGAACCAAATTATCAAATTTCAGTTCGGTCCTTGTTCGGTTCGATTGGCTTATTCGGTTCGATTTGGTTTTCATTTTCAGTGTTATTCGATCGATCGGTTCTGCATATTTTGAAACCAAACTGAACCGAACCGACCGATGCTCACCCGTACGCGAAAGTCTCGTCGTGGGAGTAATATGAAGTATGAACAATATTTTCTTCGTTCGAAATAATAAGTCACGTTTAGGAAAAATTTAACATCTGAAAATATAAAATATTTTGATAAAAATAATATTTTATTATATACATTTTTAATATTATTTTTTTATTATATTCTCTCCCTCTAATATTTTTTATAAAATGAACATTAAATGAATGAAATTTTAAAAGTTTATATTTTTATTTTAAAAATAAATTTATTAATATGTTTAATAAATTTTATTAACATAAGTAATTTTATTTAAAAATATGTTAAATTGTTGTTATGCCAGACTGAGAACCTTATAAATTCCGCTGCAACTCGAGACCCAAATCTCTAGTTATTATTATATGCATAAAAAAATAATCTTCGTAATAATGGTCCGGGCATTAATCTTCGAGTTGCTTTGTTCACCACGTGGCCGCGGTTGAACCTTGACTCATTCTATGTTACAAATCAACGAAAAGTGAATGTACCGCAGCGAACTATCAGTGAATTACTAGATTTCACTTCCATGCCGACAAAGGCGAATATATGTTTAACGGCTCTTTGGAGAAAAAAAATGTAATTTTTTTAATTGCAAACAAATTTAAAATGGATTTTGGCCAACACTCCATGGTCTGTGTTTGCAATTTGGCTTCAATTCATCGACTCCTGGATTCTTCGCCGGTCTTAGTAAACAATGCTTATGGGTTAATTAAATTTAGATGTATCCAACTGCATCCACTGAATCGTTAAAGGCTACGATGGCCAGCTTTTTCTTTTTGCTTGCCGTGTATCACATACGGAGCACCACTCAAGCTTTAATTATCGTTGGATAGATATGCTGGCATGCAACTGTGTTCAGTCTGTTGAAATTAATGACGTTTGATTTTTGGTTTAAGGATATAAATTTAAAACAAGTCTATGGTGCCTGTTCCAACAAATGTAAAATATGAGGATGTTGATATGTTCCAACGCAACAAGAGAGAGCACCGTAGGAGCTTAGATACCGACCAGATTTGAAGTCAAAGAAACAAGGCCGAGTTGTGATCCACTCGCGTGGCCGCCAAATGTGGTTTCCACTGACCACGCTCCTTCTAGAAATGCTTTCTGCAGTTTCACTGTTGCCTTCCCCGATCGATCTCCTTTCATTAATCATTCATGTAATCTAATCGCTTTAACCACGCGTCATTCTAATTCCTCAATCTTGATTTCGTGCCTTTTCTCATCCTATAAAAAAACTTTGTCGCTATCGTGTTTTTTACTTATTATGTTCATTCATTAAACTCAATTTTAACTTTCCCTTCTCTTTTCCCGCACAGCTCGCCCTCCCATTAATTGATATTCATGATATCTCTTTCCCCGTAAAAAATGGAAAAGCTAGCAAGAACAGGTGAGTTGATTTCAACATAAACAGCTGCTTGAATTTGATCTAATATTAATGGGTATTAGATAGATGTATAAAAAATAATATTTTTTTCGAGACAAATCAATATCGCGTTGATATTTAAATGATATAAATTAAAAATACTATTTGAAAAGTAGTGTGAAATCGCAGAGACGCAGACCCTGGTTTATTATTCATAATATAAACTGCCTAGGGGGAAATGAAGATGGCCTCCATGCACGTCTTTGCATCCGTTACTACTATAAAAAATGATATAAATGATGATTATTTTTTTCATAAATCACACTTGTAAACTGTCATTTATGACTTTGTCATTTAAAGTCTCTCTAAATAAATTATGATTATTTACCTATCATTTATTTCTTTATATAAATGACGGTTAAATATATGAAATTCTTATTTTCTACACATATGTATTAATCAATTTTAATAAAATTTATCTATCCTTTGGTTTTTCATCAAGAGAATTGAGATAATATACTTTTGAAGTGCTACTATATGGTTCAGTGGCAATCAGCATCCAATGATCTCTAAAAGCATTAACAAGTGTTATAAAATTATAACTAATTTACTAAATTAATCTTAACAAATTCATTAATAAAGTAAGAAGTAGGTTACCCTTGGCAATATGGTAATAAGAATAATGTCCCCATTTGAACCCTTGTTTTAAAATTTTTATTTAATTGCTTGGCTTGATATAAAATCTTGTCCTTTTTAATTAAAGTATTGTGCACCAACCTCATAGGGACTAATAAAAATGATGGGCAATAAATTATAGTTCTTACTTGAAATTGTCCTCGAATTGTTAGATAATAAATTCACCCCATTGTTTTTGTGAGACTAATAGCCTTATTAATTTGGGAACTTCAACACTAATGTTTTTGACTGATTTTTTAATGTATTTCATTCTAAAAAAATATTGAAATATCCACATTTCCTTTTTAGTTTATTGAATGACAAATTTCATTCGACTAGCATCAATGGTGAATGCTAACTGTAAAATAAGGAAATTAATTAGATTTGTGATCAAATAATTATAATGATTATGAGTAAAGTATTTTACCTATACCTGCTTCCAAATATAATTCTTTGTTACTGGACTAACATCATTCCAACTCCTAATTGTAATGGGCACATTTGCCTTTATCACAACCCCTATATAGTTGATAAATTTATTTCTATTGATATTAATAAGTTAACTTTTGTAATTTCACTTAAGCTCATATTTTTATCCAATAGCCCTTATCCTATTCACCTCGATAATCAATGCCAATCCCCTTATTATTTAATATGATTTTTGTTAAATTTATTGGTCATTCATGTCAATGTTAGAATAAGTATTGCTAGATCCATTAAGATCAATACTTTTTTGAGAAGCCATTTGCCTACAAAAATAGAAAAAACAAATATGGAGAAGAAATGAATGATAAAATGATTAAAAAAGTAATTAACTACTTTACGTGCAAAAAAAATTTGGCAATATAACACCATAAAAATAAGTATTGTAACATCCTGATTTTTATATAATAAAAAAATTGTGGAATTTAGGTTTTGAAGAAAAAAAAAGATAATAATAGGAATTTATATTATTTGAGGTTATTTAGAAATAATATTATGATTAGGTATTTAATTATGAATTTAAAAATTTAAATTTAAAACCACATAAGCAATATTTAGTTAAGATATAATACATAAATAATTTTTTTTTATGTGTGTGTTAAAAAAAAGAGAAGGTAGAAGGAACAAAAAAAAGGGAGATGGAAGGTTGTTGTTTCTAAGTCCCACATTGGTTAGATGAGGGAAGAGAAGAGGTGCCTTCATGTATAAAAAGGAGGGGGTGTGTGCATTAGGAAGCATGAGAGGCTAAGATGCAATTTAGAGAAAATTGCAACTTTTGGCCCAAAGGTTTGAATAATTAAATTCAAACCTATAGTTTTTTTTTAATATAATTTTGGGACTCACAATCCCATTTTTATATTATTTTTCTCTCTTCCTCTCACGTTGCTCAGCGTTTTCTCGCAAGAGGGGATTATTTTCTTTTTTCTTCAGGTATGTTCTAACTTTCCTGTTTAGATTAGCATTTAAAAATTTATTTAATTACAAAATTAATTTTATAGTTATTTTTTTAAATAATATTAGCTTTCTAGTGATATGATTATTTTGTAGGATAGAGTAAATATTTTGATTAGAATTTTTCTATAGGATAGTTAATCTGATGATATGATGGATTAAAAATATAGGTTAAAATTCTTAGGGATATAATAAATATTATAGAATATTTTCTTGAGGTTGAAACTCATGTTTAAAAATTTTTGAGTTAAAATCTAGATCTATATGGTTGAATTTATGTGGAATCTAAGATGTAGGGATAAACCTATGATTATTAAATATTTATTTAAGTATGAATAGGTATTTTTGAGGTTATAGAAAGGTGATTTGAGGCTTCAGGATAATTTTAAAATTTAATTTATTTTTGGATAAATTTTTAGAATATAGAAGGATGAAATTGTGATACTAGAAGTGAATTGAGGATAAAAAAAAAAGTTCATTAGGGTATGAGAATTTTAGAAAAGAATTTAGAAAGTTAAATGAGGCATAAATCTTAAATTAGTGTTAATATGGACTATAGATCTAAGACTTTCTAACTCTTTAAATTAGAGTTATTTATTTTAATGTAAAATTAATATATAGTATTGTGAAATAATTATGTAGATTATATTGACAAAGATAGTGGTGAAAAAGGAGTTGTGAAGGGGAACTTGTTATTCAAGATACAAGGTAACCATTATTAATGTGTTGTGATAGGTGTATTTGTGAATGGTTATGTGTTGTTTTGTTGTTTGGAAAAATTATGAATTATTGAAAATAAATACTGTATATACTTGTTTGAAATTATTGCCAAGTGGGTTAAAAATTTATTTTTGTTTATCATGATGAGATATTATTGTTCGGATATATTCCTGTTTGGATATTTGAATGATGCATGACTTGTCAGGGTATTTTAATGTATGGTGTTAATGGAATTTCTGTTCGGTTAATTATTACCACGTGGTAAGCCCTCATTGGACCCAATGAGTGGCGTGTCGCTTGGTCCAACTCACCTTTGGCCGGGTGATTTGGCGTCCGAGCATGGTGAAAGGAGGATATAAGGTGCAGTCATGCAATTAAATACTTGTTCGGTTTGTTTGAAAATATTGTTCGGTTAAATGTTTTGTGTGCCCACTTAGTAATCGCATGATTAGTTACATCCGCATGCATCATTACATATTAATTTTTGGTTACTGGGACTTTTAAGTCTCATTCCCCGTGGTTAATATTTTTACAGGAGCGAATCCGGCCGAGAAAGCACCAGAGGTGTAATTATGGTGTATGAGACACCATCTTTTACGTTGCCTCTTATTTTGGATTATACAATGTATCTTGTGCCAACTTAGGACATATCATGTCTATGGAGCATGTAAACTCTAATCCTTTTTATTAAATGCATTTATATGTCCAAGAGGATTATGTCTGTCCCTTTTGATTCATGACCTAATTTAAATAACATGCTATGAGGATCATGTCTGTCCCTCATGGTTCTAATTGCTTTTTGAGATATTTTAAGACCTGTGGTATATTGTCTTGGATGTATCATGGTAGAAATTTTTCTATCATGATAAGGGTATGATAAGGGTTCAATGAAAAAAATGATTTCTTGAATTAATAATTTGCGAAAAATCGGTTTGTAAATTTGAGGGTGTTACATATTGGTATCAGAGCATTATGTTTCGAGCCTCTATTTTAGTAACACTTATTTAAACTTTTGTTTGAAACTATTATTTGTGTGAATTTAATATGTATTTATTATATATGGTGCATTGCATATAGTCGGTTGGCAATATACATTGTTATGGTGCTTCTCATTGTATGGCCATTATATAGCTAGGCTAATTTTATTATTTATATCTTGTATCCTTTAGGAGGGGAGAGAAAATGCCTATTACTCGCAGTAACTTAGGATCCTAACATGAGCACCCACCACCTCCACCGCCAAATGAGGAGCCTGATTTGGCGGAATTGAGAGTACTTGTAAAGACGTTAACAGACAAGGTTCAAAAATATGAACGAGAGTTGACGAAGCTAAAAAGACAAAGTTCGTTGAGAATGGAGATAGGGCTCATGTTGAGAGTCATGTAGGGGAAGGCAGTTCCTCACATCCTACCATTCCGAGAGATTATGAGCTTAGAAGGGAGGAGACTAAGTAAGAGGAACAGAGAGTCCCACCGACCATTATTGATGTGTGGGAAACTGTTAGGAAGTTTAACCATCCCTCGTTTGATGGTAACCTTAAACCATCTGTGGTAAAGGAATAGGTGAAAAAACTCAAGTCCATCTTTCGAGTAGTCACATGCACCAATAATTAGAAGGAGCAAGTAGTATTAGTGCTCCTAGTGAAGGGAGCAAGAGATTGGTGGGAGACAGTGGGACACAAGGATGATTCGACACTCACATGAGAGGAGTTTAAGGGGAAAAAAAATTGTTCAGGCATTACTTTCCATCAAAGTTAAGGTCTGAGAAGGAAGCTGAGTTACATGCTTAAGCAAGGAAACCTATATGAGGACACATTCATTGCTAAGTTTCAGAAGTTATCTAGATACTCCACATACTTGTAGTATAGGGATGATTCTGAATGGAAGGCCAAGCGCTTATTGGAGAAGGCTAGACCAGAATTGAGGGAGCAATTGATCTGAGACTATGATGAAATGTGCATAAAATTGCAAGTAGTAGCTCACAGTAAGAGGGAGGTTGAGAGAGAGAAGAGGGGGTATTCATATAGTAGACCCCCAACCTATCCCCAACCCACAGGAGGCATTATGAAGAAGAACCATCAAGGTTCGAGTAGCTCATGGAACCAGGGAAGGCAGAAGGGTCCATTTCAAAAGGGCCAAGGACAGAGAAGTTATCATAGTGGTTATCACGAATCATAGAGGGGCCCAACAGTATCTACCCCTGCTCTGAGTACAGTGAGCTCTCAACAGTGCACTAAATGCGGGCGTCGTCATTTCGGACAGTGCTGGGTCTGTTACATTTGTGGGAAACCCGGTCACATTGTAAAGTTTTGTGGGGACAACTAGGGCTCAAATATGAAGAACCCTTCCCAACATCCTACTGTCTCTGGCCGTGTGTTTGCTCTTACTCAGGACACCATGAACTCCCCAGATGCCATTAGAGGTAACATCAAAATCCTTCATCATGATATTGTTGCACTATTTGATTCGGGTGCTACACACTCTTTTATTTCTGAAACTTGTGTAAAGAACCTTGATTTGCCTGTGTGTATTTTACCTTTTGATATGAATGTGTCTACTCCTGCGGGAGAATCTGTAAGGACTGCTAAGGCATGCCTTAACCTAGTAGTCGAGTTTAAAAATAGGAAAACAACTATGGACTTAATTATCCTACCATTGAGAGGTATGGATGTAATTGTGGGAATGAATTGGATGGCTGCAAATGGTGCTATCCTAGATTGTAGAGAGAGGAGTGTGTTTTTATCTTCTTTGTCAGTGACCCCAGTCGAGACTCAAAATCATGTTTTCTTGTCGGCGGCGCAAGTTGATAGATGTATGAAAAAGGGTTGCCAGGCCTACATGGTTTTCTTCTCTATCCAAGCTGAGATTGATGAAGGCGTGAAGAATATCCCAATTGTCAAAGAATTTGCGGATGTATTTCCAGACGAAGTCTCCGGTTTACCCCCAAAGCGTGAGGTAGAGTTCTCAATTGAATTGGTACCCGGTACAGGGCCAATTTCTAAGGCTCCTTATCGGATGTCCCCTTCAGAGTTAGCAGAACTGAAAAAGCAAATTGAAGAGCTACTTGAGAAGGGTTTCATCAGACCAAGTGTTTCACCTTGGGGATCTCCAGTCTTTTTTGCAAAGAAGAAGGACAGAAGCCTCCGATTGTGTATTGATTATAGACAATTGAACAAAGTAACCATCAAAAACAAATATCCACTTTCGAGAATCGATGATTTGCTGGATCAACTTGTGGGATCCGCAGTTTTCTCAAAGATTGATTAAGGTCAGGGTACCACCAATTGAGAGTAAGAGTGGAGGATATACCTAAGACAGCATTTCGGACGAGATATGGGCATTATGAATTCATGGTGATGCCGTTTGGACTTACGAATGCTCCTGCGGTATTCATGGATTACATGAATAGGATCTTTCGACCCTATTTAGATAAGTTTGTAGTAGTGTTTATTGATGACATTCTTATTTATTCAAAGGATGAGGAGGCTCATGGTGAGCATTTAAGAATCGTCTTGCAAGTTTTGAGGGAACATAAGATTTATGCCAAATTAAACAAGTGTGAATTTTGGCTCCAAGAAGTAAAGTTTTTGGGCCATGTTGTGTCCAGAGATGGAGTTGTGGTGGATCCTAGCAAGATTGATGCAGTGATGAAGTGGGAACAGTCAAAATCTGTTACAGAGATACGAAGCTTTTTAGGTTTAGCAGGTTATTATCGTCGCTTTATTAAGGGATTTTCGCAAATTGCGATGCCCTTAACTAAGCTGACTAAGAAGGATGCCCCATTTATTTGGACTGACAAATATGAAGCTATTTTCCAAGAATTGAAAAAGAGGTTAACCACTACTCCAGTATTGACTATTCCTGACCCTGTGGTGCCGTACACTCTGTACACTGATGCTTCTTTAAAGGGTTTAGATGTGTTTTGATGCAAAATGACCGAGTGGTTGCCTATTCCTCCAGACAGTTGAGACCACACGAGGAAAATTACCCTACTCATGATTTGGAGTTAGCTGCAGTTGTGTTTGCTCTGAAGATATGGAGACACTACTTGTATGGATCTAAGTTTCAAATCTTCAGTGACCATAAGAGCCTGAAGTATTTATTTGATCAAAAAGAGCTTAATATGAGGCAGCGACGATGGATGGAATTTCTGAAGGATTATGACTTTGAATTACATTACCATCCGGGTAAGGCTAACGTGGTAGCTGACGCCTTAAGTAAAAGACTATTCATGCTGCACATTTGATGGTTCATGAATATCATTTGTGGAACAGTTTTCATGATGTTCCAGTAGATGTGATTGAACATCAAATGGCCGCACTCCAGGTAGCAGACTTTGAGAGCAAATTCTGGGAAGATCTCAGAGTCTCACAGCAGAGTGATGACTACTAAAGGAATATAAGGAAGGAGATAGTGGTAGGTAAGGCCCTAAATTTTACCATCTCTGAGGACACAGTGATGAAGTATAAAGGTAGAGTTTGTGTACCTAATGATCCAAGATTGAGGAATATCCTTTTAGAAAAAGCTCATAGGAGCAAATATACAATTCATCCCGGTATAACTAAAATGTACCATGACTTGAAGCGAGGTTGGTGGTGGCCAGGAATGAAGAAAGATGTAACTGAATTTGTTTCTAGATGTTTAACGTGTCAGAAGATAAAGATAGAACATCAGAAGCCAGCTGGAACACTGCAACTGTTAGACATTCCAAAGTGGAAATGGGATGATATTTCCATGGATTTCATCACTGGACTGCCAAGAACACCCTCGAGTAAGGATGCTATTTGGGTGATAGTAGACCGACTCACCAAATCAGCTCACTTTTTGGCGATCAAGTTTACCTCTACATTAGAGAAATTTGCTGAGATATACATTAAGGAGATAGTTAGACTTCATGGTATACCCTCTAGAATTGTGTCAGATCGTGACCCAAGGTTCACTTCAAACTTTTGGGGTACGCTACAGAAGGCTATGGGTACCAGACTGAGTTTTAGCACCGCATACCCCCCAAACAGATGGACAAACAGAGAGGACGATCCAGACTTTGGAGGACATGTTGAGAGCTTGTGCCATTGAACTACCAGGTAGTTGGGATAATCATTTGCCATTAGCTGAATTTGCTTGTAATAATAACTATCATTCTAGTATTGGGATGGCGCCTTATGAGGCCTTGTATGGAAGGAAGTGTAGATCGCCTTTGTGTTGGACAGAATTAAGTGAGAGGAGTATCATTGGTCCAGAAATTGTAGAGCAGACCACCCAGAAGATTGCAATGATTAAGCAAAAATTGCTAACCGCTCAGAGCCGACAAAAGAGCTATGCTGATAAGAGGAGACGGCCGTTAGAGTTTGAAGTAGGAGATCATGTATTTTTGAAGGTTTCTCCAGTGACAGGCATTGGTAGATCCATTAAGGCAAAGAAGTTGACACCTAGATTTATGGGCCCGTATGAGATCTTGGAGCGAATTGGATCTACTGCATATAGAGTTGCATTACCTCCATAGATTGCAGGTATCCATAATGTGTTCCACATATCACAGTTGAAGAAGTACAACCCGGATCCCTCCCATGTTATTGAACCTGAAAAAGTAGAATTGAGGGAGAATTTGACCTTTAGATCCAAACCGGAGCGAATTGAGGACTTTAAGGACAAACAACTATACAATAAGACCATCCGACTCGTGAAGGTGATTTGGAAGGGTG